CGATGTATAACCATAATAATAATTAATAGTAATGTACAATATTAAAGTAAAAATGGGCCAACCCATGGGTTTCGTCTCGAACATAGCTTGGGCCAAATATGGTCTTCTACACCCTAATTCGATTTTTAATACCTTTTATGCGGGACAGTTAGCAAAGAGTGTTTGACTTGACTACTCTCCAATTTCAATTATGTGCATCGTAATTAATTTTTGGGAAAATTTCATTAGTAAGATATTAAGTATAACCTTTTTCAAATCTAAGAAATAAGGTTTATTCTTTAAAAAAATCAGATGCTAATTTAAATTTCATTTATTAAATAATTAATTAAAAATATTTTATTAATTAAATATACAAGGGTCACAATGTTATATAATTTATGGTCACGGTTATATATCAGTCACAATTACAAACATTACAGTCTCAAACAACAAATTTTATAGATCGAAATTTATTTCTCAATCACAAATTAAATAAATTAATTGATCACAAATAAAAAATTTTACGAGACAACTTATTTCATGGTTACAAAATATCAAATTACTTGGTCACAAATTATTTTTAGGTCATACATTATCAAATTATTGGTCAAACTTTAACAAAATTTTAGGGTACACATTATTTATTGGTCACAATTTATCTATTTCATTGGTCACATATGATTTATTGGTCATACACTAACCAATTTATTAGTCACAATCAACAAAACAATTTTTAACCACCACCACCTCACGACTACCTCTAGTAGAACCACCACCAACACCACTGCAACAACGATGAGAACCACCACTCCCAAATACCACCATGATTGCTGCATGTACCAACCACCACCATCGCCACCTGTACCAACCACCACCACTACTTCCACCATCTCCTCAAATCCATTACCGTCAATGCCGCCACCACTGTAACAACTGCAACCACCCTCTATACTCTCCACCACCATAAACTACCATCTCCACCATACCACACCACACGCTAAACAAAAAATCCTCAAACCTACCATCATTGCCTTCACGACCACCACCAACACTTTCACCGCAATCACTACCAATCCACAACCACCGCCTTCACAATCTCCATCACAGTCGCCACCACAACTATCATCTCTTTTATCGTCATCTCCACCACACAGCAACCACCAACCGCACTAAAAAATCCCCAAACCACCACCGCCACCACAATCTTCACAAATCACACAGCAGACCAACCACAAGACCCCTACAAATCCACCACACTGCAATGACCTCGACAAGTCCACCAAATCGCAACCTTTGTGCGCCGCCACCACCGAACTGTAGCCATGACTTGTACCATCACCATCGTGATCTATGTCACTACAGTCACGATTTGCAGAGCCTCCGGTGGTGCTGATAGTGAAGAAAAAGGTTTTCCTGAGGTCTATAGAGCTTCGACGATTTGTGTCGTTGTTAGCGAGCTTCGCAGTCAAGAAATGGCTTCAACGGTGGCACTTATAGCGTAGATGGTAAAGCGGTGCTCTCTGGTGGTGGCGCTCTCCGACGACGAATGTGGACAGAAAGTGTACAGAGTAGGAAGAAGAATATGAGAGAGAAAATGTGACATATAGGGAGAATTGAGAGAGATGAATGAAGTTGATAGCTTAAAAGGCATAACTCTAAAATCAGCATAACTCTCTAGCTGTATCAACATTATCCAAGGAAAAACTCATAGTTTCTTTAATATGGCTTCTTCTAAAGTCAACACACGTAACATGTTCTCAAATTCATCTCTTTGGTTATCAATCAATGTTCACTCCACTGTAAAAAGCATAGGATACAATTCTTGTAATGAACATGCTGAATTATGCAAAATAAGTAATTGTTCAAAATAAGATATAGGACCATATTCTAGTGAAAAGCACACGAACTGGAAAAGTACATTATAACCTGATAAGCACATCAAAAAGAGCACTTGGACCACAAGGAACATGCATAACATGACTTCTATCAATATTATTCATAGCAACAACCAGTGCCTCAAGCTTCTTGGGTTTTCCCTTATCTTCCTCACCAAAGTTAACAACATCAAGAGCCACACTGTTCTTTTTCAATTTCCTTCAAATTATCTGCAACTCCTTGTCATATTTCACAGGACTAAAATCACAAGTTCTAACAATTAGTAAACAAAAAACAAAAAAAAAAAAATCTTCGAGCATAATGAAATTATAAAATTCTACACAGAAACATGAAAAAAAAGGATTTCAAAATACCCCAAATTTGAAGCTCAAATCACCAGAAATCGACATATGAACAAATTATTTGTAAATACTAAATTAAAAAAATTTAATTAAAAAGAACGGATAATACTAAAATGAAAGGACCATGAAAAATGAAACAACTATGAAATTGGCGTACCTCAGTTATGCCCAAGATTTGAAGCTGAAATCACGAAAAAGGGACACCTGAACGAATGAATTGGAAAAATTAAACAGAGCTAACCTGAAACAACGGATAAGCGTCAAATGGAACAACTATGAAATCGACATACCTCAGTTGATTTGTCTCCCATCCAGGTTGCAATTTCTCGATCTTTTGATACGAATCAAACAACCAAAAGAAACTCCTAATAAATAGTAAATCTAAGATAAGTAAAAAAACATACAGAAGAAGACCAAAATGAGGCTGCGATTCGTATTTTACAAGATGATTTTGTACAATTTTTTTCAAACTCTTCTCCCTACAGTCTATAGATGGATTAATTTT